CCGTGAGCAACGCGGACATGGGGTAGTCATCCATGGTGCAAGACACACTACTGGCAGACAGTCCCACTCCTCACCATGTAGACTTACCCAAGCACTGAGTCTACACTACACTACTGCTAAGGCTGTCGCTACAGGACTCTACTACTCATCAGGAGGCATTTAAGGAGATCCCCCAAACTCCTTAGGAATTATTTAACATCGCAAACATGACGATGTGATCAGCAGAGCCCTCTCAAGACTTTTTCTTCTTCGTCGCCTGCTCCAATAAAGCCAACTTTTTGGCCTCATTCTGCAAGGCCTTCTTCTGCTTTTCCTTCTGCTCTCTCAGTATGGCAACGACTCTCTCCTCCTGCTCTGTAGTGTATGCGGTGGTCTGTCGCCCCGATTTGGTGGTAACGGCCAAACTAATTTTGCGGCAGAACCCCAGAGGGAAGAAGAGATGGTACAAGGCTCCCCACAAGGAGAAGCCTGTGAGCAACGCGGACATGGGGTAGTCATCCATGGTGCAAGACACACGACTGGCAGACAGTCCCACTCCTCACCATGTAGACTTACCCAAGCATCGAGTCTACACTACACTACTGCTAAGGCTGTTGCTACAGGACTCTACTACTCATCAGGAGGCATTTAAGGAGATCCCCCAAACTCCTTAGGAATTATTTAACGTCGCAAACAGGACAATGTGATCAGCAAAGCCCTCTCAAGACTTAGACAGCCGGATGCGTAGCCTACAGCTCGGAGTTCGGGCCTACCACGCCACACTCAGCAACCTGTTGGTCTGTACCGGTCCTTGGGGGTCTTGTCCCCAGCTTAGTCGTCAGGCGTATCTGTAGCCCTACTAAGTCCCGTGTAGGTTTGGTTACCACAACTCAATGACCACATACACAGAGGCTATCACCTGGACAAACGTGACTCAATGCAAAAAGAAGAGACAAACAGACGCTTAAGCAAGTACCAAGGTTATGTGCACATCCACAGGGCAAGGGGATAGGACCAAGGCTTCGAGACATTATACCACACTCCAGCTTGGTCAATGTCGTGGTCAACGGTCTTGGTCAACGCCGGTCAAAACTCTTGGTCAACTGTCACGGTCAACTTCCTGGCTATGGCCGTCGACCTCCTCTTTCGTCAACCTCTTCTTTCTCCTCTTCGTCTCCTTCCTCGCCCCACCTTTGGCTATGACTTCCTTCTCTTTCTCCTTCGTCTCTCCTTCCTCCTTTCTTCTCTCTCGTCTTCTTCTTCGTCGTCACTTCCAATCACCTTCTTCCTCGAATCAGCGCTCAGCGGCTATGGCCGCCACTTCTTCTTCTTCTTCACTTGCGCACCTAGCTCCTTGACTTCACTCCCCCCCCCCCCCCCCCCCACATCCCCTCCCTTTCCTCCTCCCCCTCTCTTTCTCTTTCTCCCCCCCTTCTTCCCCCCCCCCCTCTCTCTCTCTCTCTCTCTCTCTCTCTCTCTCTCTCTCTCTCTCTCTCTCTCTCTCGTCGTCGTCTTCTTCTTCTTTACGGTCTTCAGGCGCACGATGGCGCGCGATCTCTACTAACGACGCGCGCAGCAACGGACCAGTGCGCGCGTGCAAGAGCGCGCAACCAACTATGGCACATGCAAAGAAAAGCGGCACACATGAGCAATAGCGGCGCACAAAACAGGTAGCGCGTGCAAAGTATAGCGGGCGCTCGCAAGATAACGAAGCTCGTGCAGCGAGGCGCATCAGCGGGCGCAACGAAATGTGACCCACCACAGAGAGCGCGGGCGCTCAATCTGGCACGCAAGCTCCTTCTCCCTCGATCGACGTGGCGCTCGGCTATGACTATGATAACGACGACGATGGCGCTTGGCGATGGTGACGACGAGGGCAGTCGTGATGACGACGACAAGGGCGATCGCTATGATGACGACGATGGCGATCTCGACGGCGACGGGACAACGGGAACCTGCTCTGATACCAGTGAAATCAGACTAGGCTCATCTCGCTTCAGCATACATGTGAACAGGTGACGACTCGACTGGCGCAGTGCACCCACACAAAGCTCAGAGATAAGAACATGACCAGGAACACAGTTCAGAGTCAAACTTGTCTCGAATGGCACCAGCGCCAAACAAAGATCCCCACCCGATCAACTGTATCCACCAGCAACTTGTTCGCACACGCACACACACGCTCACACGCTAACTAGGATCACCCTGCATGTCCCTCGCGCGTACGCTCACACACAACACACAACTCATATCACTAACCTACGTGCCAGCTATGGCTGCCGTCTCTCTTACTCCTCTTAGCCGTCTTCTTCCTCGGGCACCTGCAGACCTGCGATGCACAAGACGCTCCGACAGCACTTCCACACGGCTCACAGGCAGAATGAATGAATGAGTTGACGCTCCCTCTTTATTTATACTTCGAATCGTCGGTGGTCTGGCCTCTTGACCTGGGCCCAGGATGTACACAGTCCCACATGGTACTTGCTGACTGGACTAGGCGCAACTGGGACTGGGTACCGCTGACTAGACTAAGTAGGACTGGGACTGCCCTTTGCTGACTGTACTAGGACTGCCCCTCGCTGACTCAGCTAGGGACTGACTGCTACGACCTACGAAGAGCCAGTCAAACTAGTTTAGAAGGTCCTAGACTTGACCTTTCGGAACTGTAGTGGCTACGACCTAGACTAACCCTATCACTACTAAAACTAAGGTCCACAGGTCAAACCCACGTGACCGAACTACATACAAAAGCCGAACATTTAGGAAACAGGTTGCGGGTTCAAACACGCGGAATCAAACGGGTACTGTGGCATACTGCGTAGCCACACGGGCCCTGCAGGGCCCGTCCCCCACTTTCAGCCTAAAAGCCTAGAAAATAGGGCTTACAGGCCCCGGTCGTTTCAGCCTGAAACTGAAAAACGAGGGCCTGCAGGCCCTATTCCGTTTTCAGCCTATTTCTGGGCCTTTCAGGCCCAGAGGCTTTTCAGCCTGAAACGGAGGGCCATTTTCAGGCCCTCATTGTGTTCGACCTACCCTAAGACTCAGGCACAAAAACAGGGTTTTGGGAACAGGCTATTTCTGGCCTGTTCCCCACGACAGCTCAAGCAGGAGCTGCAGCGGCAGCCCCTGCCGCCCTTCGGCATTGGCAAGATCAGCCTCCTGGACTGCTCGCCTGCAGTCAGGAGGCAGCCGAGTAGTTCCCATGCACTTCACGGGTAGGTAGTTGGACAGTAGGACGAGTAGTCTTCAGGATTCGGCCGCAGCACTCATGAGGAGCGCTGCCAGGAGTAGCTTAGCGCTAGCAGTAGTCTTCAGCGCTGGGCGCTAGTAGCCATAGCAGTAGTCTTCAGTGCTGGGCGCTAGTAGGTGGTAGTGGTAGTGTGGGAGAGAGATGGCTGGCGGAGGCCAGCGAGACTTACCTGTGGCGCCATAGCTCCAGCTCCATCTTCGAGGTACCTGCATCAAGGCGCCATCTTCACAGGTTAGTACTGGACACAGAGAGAGAGAGGGAGGGAGAGAGAGAGAGAGAGAGAGAGAGAGAGAGAGAGAGAGAGAGAGAGAGAGAGAGAGAGAGAGAGAGAGTTCTTCTTCTTCCTCTTCTATGTCCACCATCTCTTCTTCCCCTCTCACCACCTGACTTCTCAGTATCAGCGGACTACTACAGAGAGAGAGAGTTTTGTGACTTGGGACTTGACGACATTGGATCCAGACTCGATATTTGGGATTGAGACATTTTGACGAGGGACTATTTGGGCCTGTGCCGAAGACTTGGTGTTGACGACATTCCCATCTCCCCTTCCTCTTCGTTTAACCCCCTTCTTCTTCGTCTGTGTATGGTTGGGGCTGGTGCAGTCTTCCTGTGTGAAGCGCCAGACCCCTTTCACACCATGGAACGATGATGATGATGTATGTTCAGGGCTGCATTGCAATATTGATTGTTCGGATCATTGGTATCTAAGTCTTCCGCTACGCTATCTTGTACTTTGTATTGAGAGGTCGGTTCTTGTTCTGGTCTGCACCGTTTCAGTATGCAACAGGTACTGTACACGGGTAAGGGTAGGTCTAGGGATCGAGCCCTGGATCCGCATCTGTCACCTACTTAGGTGAAAACCGTTTCATTAATATCTTATTCAAAAAAAAGGAAAACAAAGCTTCTACCGTCTGTCTCTGTCCCATTGACTTCATCTTGCTGCAGAAAATGCTGGGTTTACCACAAAAGCAGCTCTCTATCTTCTGGAGATGCATCACGTGGGTTGTGGTTGGTCTTGGACTCAGTGTATTGGATTTCTGGATGTTCTTAGTAACGTCATACTCGAAAGTTCTTGTATTGAACAGTCCTGTTGTGACACGGGTTTGTGATCGGTGGTGCATTGTGTTTCACCCTGAACCTTGAAGGGGGCCAATCCCCTAAACGCCAAGTGAACCCTAGATTTACCTGAACCTGAAGAAGGCCGCTCCCCTAATCCCCATGTAAATCCTTAACTCTTAAGGGGACCACTCCCCTCAACCCCAAGTTAACCTCTCCATGTGTATTCAAACGTCGGAAAGCCCCTCTTGTTGGCAAGTGTTTTGGATATAGGATTGTATTTTTTAACCATAAACCCTAAAGAGGATTACAGATTGTATTGTTTCACCGTGAACACAAAAGAAGGCCGCTTCCTAAGTAAACCCTAAAGAGGGCCGCTCCCCTAAGCCCTAAAGAGGCCATTCCCGTAAACCCCAAGCAAACCTTTTTGGTGTGTGTTCGAATGTCAAAAGCCCTTGTTGCGGGCAGTGCTTTGGATTTCAGATTGTATTGTTTCACCGTAAGCCCTGAGGAGGGACACTCCCCTAAACTCCCAAGTGAACGCTAAGTTTTTCGTACACCCTAATCCCTCCCAGGGTGTATTCTAACATTGAAAACTTGAAAAGTCGTTGTTGTGGACAGTGTTTGGGTTTCAGGGTGTACTTCTAAGCTGGAAAGCCCGTTTCTGAAGCAACACTTGTTTGTAATGCATTTGTTGGTTGCTCTGTGTGCGAAGACTTGACATATACATGGAGCAAGCGGTGATGCCAGGCACAACAGAGCCCATTCCGATGCTTTGCGTGTGTGATAATGGAGTTGGCATGGATCACAATGAAATCGGTCGCATGCTGAAATTTGGCCATGGCTCACACCCGGAGGAGGGTGAAACGTCACACATTGGCCACTTTGGGGTTGGGTTCAAGGTTGGTGGCCTATGAGCTGTTAACTCCATACGTGATGTGGCTGGGGACAGATGATGATCAGGAGACTCATTACCCTCCCAATGATGATGACAATCATGACTGTGCATTTAGAACAAAGAGAGAGGGGGGGAGTGGGGGGAAGGAGAGGAATGAGATTGATAGGGCTGATGAGACTTGTCATGATTGGATTGTAAGGTATTTGGACTGAAACCTGTGTATGGACTGCTCCAGACTGTCCGGATTGAAAGCCCCACCTAAAAAACAAACAAACAAACAAACATTTTTATTCTTTCCCTTCGATTTGGCTACGAATTTCGAAATGGTCCTCAGCCAAAAAAAAATTGTATTACAATGTTGCATAACATTTTTTTTTCCAGATTTTTTAAATGTTTTTTGAAAGCCGGATCTTTTTTGGGGGTGGGGGTGGGGGGACAGATCCGGACACTCTGGACTGGGCACCAGATCCAGACACATGTATATTATTTTTCTCACAAATTATGTAGCCAGCGTGACAGTGGGACCAAGCCCAGCAGGAAAAGAGTCGCAGGCAAGATGCTATTACGAGGCCCTCTCCTTTTTTTCTTTTTTTTTTATAACACACTCTCCCTTCTATTTTTCTTTTTTTTGATAAGACACACTCCCTACTAGGCCCTCTCCTGTCTCAGGAAAAGAGTCTCCAGCTGATTTGTGCACCAGGGGATTCTCCCTGTAATGACACCGTTCAATCGAAGCTGTTTGCCTCTTTTTGGCTTGATGCCTTGCATTATTCCTTTTTGGTGTTTTGAGCTTGCTTTTGACAAGCAGACGATCACAGCCCTCCGATCTTTTGCTGCTCGACGGTCCCGATCGTCTGCTGATCGTTTTTTCTTAGAAGTTGAACCGTTGCGGCACCACACCAGGGCTGGTACCAGTCCCGCGCGCCATGCCTGTGCCAGTACCACGTGCAATACTAGGCCCGCGTGCCTACCCCGGCATTGCGCATCAGCAGGCCCGCGTGCTACAGGGCCATGTGGAACATATATTAACAACTTCAGTGTTCGCACTGCCCCGGCCTCTCGATAAGCTACTCGAAGACTTGGACTACAGACACACTAAGCTACCCGAAGACATTATCGACTGGACTCTGCGCTGTTCTACGTGTTCTACACAGACACAACCCCTTCCTCCCTCCCCCCCCCAAACACACACACATGCACACACACAAGCACAAACTGTCAGTGTTCAACCTCCTGATTAGTCTGTGAAAGTCTGACGAAACAGTCTGGCACAGTCTATACTTTTCTTTTAGTGTATAGCGAATATGACGACACACACACACACATATTGTTCTTACTGACAGGTTGGTCCATCTCAAGTGCGTTGAATTGCTTGTGTAAAGGTGAGATTCCTTGCTTGTTTAAAGGTAAGGTTCTGAGTAGATATTGACTTCACAAGCAAAACTGTTTCATTGGTGGATTGGCTCATCTTGAGAATGCTTCATTGTCTGCAACATAGGAAAAGTTGCTATGACTTTGGATCTACTCATCTGGGTGGAATAGGGGAAGTTGTGGTGATATTTTATAGCACACACAAACACACCATCTCTCTCTCTCTCTCTCTCTCTCTCTCTCTCTCTCTCTCTCTCTCTCTCTCTCTCTGTGTGTGTGTGCGAGGATCAGGCTCCTTTGCANCTGTGTGTGTGTGCGAGGATCAGGCTCCTTTGCAGGCCTAAGGGGCCCTTACAGCAGATGTGCCTGCCCTAAGTGAAGGCAGGCCTGGCAGATCACAAAGGCCCTCACTGTCAATTTCGATTTTGGGATTCAGGCACTTGCCAGTTTGTGCGGCAGCGCTGCTGGAGCATAGGCCTGCGTGCTGCTGTGCGCTAAGGGCAAGGTGCTGTGCGCGTGCGGTCGTGCGAGAAGCAGGGCGCTGCTGAGGGCAGCGCCATAGCCCAGCCTGCATAGCTGGCTGGGGCTTGGACTACAGTGAGGCGCAGGGGCGGTCTTCGGGTGTACAGAGGGAAAACATGGGTGAAAGTCTCGGGGGAGAGAGAGAAGGATGATGATGATGATGATGTGAGGGCACATAATTGGTATTGGCGATGGTCTACTTTGGTCGACATCTTCAAGTACTTCGTTGGCTGCTGACGTCAACAGTTGCATTGCAATTAGTAGGCAGATTGTTACATGCTGCCCCTGCAACAGGCTGCACGGGCCATTTTCAGGCCCGTGTCATTTTCAGCCTGAAAGCCTGAAACCATTTTCAGGCCCTCATAAGATCGACCTGCCCTGAAACTTAGGCACCAGACCAGGGTTTTAGCACAGGCCATTTTGGGCCTGTTTTCAAGACAACCTTTGGTTGAGCCTCAACACCGGGGTCTGGCACGTTTTGGCATTGGCAAGAGCAGCCTCCTGGACGGGCCAGCACTATATAGGACTGGCCCGCCCTGCAGGCTGCAGGTAGTTCATAGGGACTTCCCAGGCACTTCATGTGCCGTTCAGGAGGCAGGAGGTAGTCTTCAGGATTCGGAAGCAGCCCTCTGGAGGAGCGCTGCAGTAGTAGTAGTAGCGTTAGCAGTAGTCTTCAGCGCTGGGAGCTAGTAGGAGCTAGAGTAGTACTGGAGAGAGAGAGAGGTTGGGCGGAGGCCAGGGAGACTTACCTGCAGCGCCATAGCTCCAACTTTGTCTTCGAGGTACCTGCAGCACAGCGCCATCTTCACAGGTTAGTACCTGGCACATGAGAGAGAGAGAGTTCTTCTTCATCCTCTTCTCAGTCCACCATCTCCCTCTCACCCTCTCACTACCCGACTTCACTGCATCCTATGAGAGAGTGGGATTGGTGACATTTGGTCCAGACTCGACATTGGGCTTCAGACATTTAACAAGGGATTATCTGGGACTTGGTGTTGACATTCCCATCTCCCCCCTCTTCTTCGTTTGATCCCCTCCTCTTCGTCTGTGTATGGTCTGGACCTGGCGCATTCTTCCTGTGTGTAGCGCCAGGCCCCTTCACAGCTTGTGATGAGGATGAGGTATGTTTAGTCTGCATTGCGACATTGATTGGGCTAGTCATTGGTATTCTAGCATTCTGCTCTGCTGTCTTGCACTAGGTGAGAAAGGTCAGTCCCGGTCAGGTCAGGACTTATATCCAAGTCTTCCACTGCGCTACAAAGCACCATTTTTGTATGTATCATGATGTACACTGCTTGTTGAGGTTCCACTAGCACTGCATTGTCCATTCAGTCCTCTTCATCACATTGCGGATCCTTGGTTATATATGTACATCGCCCAACTGGGCATGTAGCACAGATAGTAGCTAAGTAGGGAGTAGGCTGGGCGCCGAGCGCCAAGTAGGGAGAAAGGCCTGGACACTTATGTTGGTGGTGGCGAGAGCAAGCTCTCGTTGACATTTGGTTTTCAGTGTTACGATTCTCCATTGGTGTTATATTGGTGCAATGCTGCTTTCTGGACACTGTGATACTTTCTGGCTTTCAATGTNTTGACATTTGGTTTTCAGTGTTACGATTCTCCATTGGTGTTATATTGGTGCAATGCTGCTTTCTGGACACTGTGATACTTTCTGGCTTTCAATGTGATTGTGTAATCTGGATATTGTCATCTCGCTATTGCTCATTTTCCTTGCAATTTGGTATCGGAGCTGGTTCGAACTGCGCTTCATTGGTTCTTCGCAATAGCTGTTTGGTGCTTCACGTGAGGTGTTGGGCAGTGATAAGGCTTGGGCATTGGACAATAGGCGGCCCAGGGTCATGTGGGCGTGCCAGGAAGGCTATATGGTGACATAGGGTTGTACGCTGGATGATGAGAGCTCGCAGATGTGGCATTTAAGCCGAGGTGGAACAACATTCTGCTGTTTGTTGTGCCAAGGCAAGGACTGGTCATCATACATGCACGTCAGGTTGCTGGTGAGAAATCTGTGGTCGGGAGCAGCATTATGAGGTACGTTGCTCTCTTCCTTATCTACCCTCTTCATTACTTCTTACCGTGAGGAAGTGAGTTTTGTCTTGAGAGTCCTCTCATTGTGAGGTGTCACGAGCTTTCAACCTTGAGAGTCGACATTCTTCCTGGGCAGCAAGCTGGTGGGAGACGGGCGAGGCCTCTCAAGGGCCTTGGACAACGCACTTTAGTCACGGTCACCATGCGAACCCGCTGGGACTAGTACACGCATGCTTTGCCGCAAGTCCTTGGTTCTGCTGCTGCACAATAGAGGTCGTCCCGGGCATGCCAGCCCTTTGAACAGACGCTCACCAGACCGTCTCTAAATATTTCTGGTGGGTTGCGGATTGAACCCTGGTAGTGATCGTCGTCGGCCTATCTGCAACGTTAAATAATTCTTGTGGACCTTTGGAGCTGTCCTTAAACTGCCTCTTGATCAGCCAGATCAAGTGGAAGTAAGGCTCGTTGCATGGGAGGGAAAATAAGGTGCAGGGGCTGGCAGGTTCAACATACACTTGGGGCAGAGGTGTGGGCCGGATTGCACACCTTCAGACACACCGCTCGACCAAATGCTCAGGGCGTCGACACGAAGTGACTACTGAAGAAGGATACAGGGAGAGGGGGGATTCCGGTAACTGTTCGCAGAGGTACTGTTGCATACTGTAACGTGCAGACCAGAACAAGAACCGACCTTTCAATACAAAGTACAAGATAACACAGCGGAAGACTTGGATACCAGTGATCCGAACAATCAATGTTGTAATGCAACCTTGAACATACATCATCATCATCGTTACATGGTGTGAGTGGGCCTGGCGCTTCACACAGGAAGACAGCGCCAGCCCATACCATACACAGACAAAGAGGAAGGGGATACCGAAGAGGAGGGGGAAGGTGGGTATGTCGTCAACACCAAGTCTTCGGCATAAGCCCAAATAGTCCCTCGTCGAAATGTCTGAATCCCAAATGTCAAGTYTGGATCCAATGTCGTCAAGTCTCAAGTCACAACTCTGTCTCTCTCTGTCGTAGTCTGAGAAGTCAGGTGGCGAGAGGGTGAGAAGAGAAGGTGGACTTAGAAGAGGAAGAAGAAGAACTCTCTCTCTCTCTGTGTCCAGT